AGGAAATTCTGCCATGCGTCTGCCCAGCTTGGTTAATTCACCATGATGATTGAGTGCACCCAAAGCATATAGCTGTTCCAGTGCCAACACTAACGTCTCGTGTGGCGGCGGATCGAGGAAATCAAAGTGTATCAGATCATTAATGCCCAAAGCTTTGAGCATGAGCACTGCATTTCCCAGATTGATTCGACAAATTTCTGGCACTGTATTCTCCTCCAGCTCGTGCTTATATGCCCAGGCGGTGTATAGACGAAAACATTTACCGGGTGCCGTACGACCAGCTCGTCCCGCTCTTTGGTTTGCCGAAGCCTTTGAGATGGGCACCACCATCAATGATTCCATTCCCGTCCGTGAATTGAAATTGTTTTGCTTAGCAAAACCCGGATCAATGACATAGATGATATTGTCTATAGTCAATGATGTTTCCGCAATATTCGTAGCAAGGATCACTTTTCGTGCATTCGGCGGCGTTGGCTCAAAGATTTTCGCCTGCATGTCGCTGGGCAGATTGGCATAGACGGGAACAACAATGAGCTCGCGAATCTTAGAACCCAGGCGCTTGACACGATCCTGCAACACCTCCTGACACGTCTCGATCTCGTCCTGGCCAGTGAGAAACACCAAGATGTCACCAAGTGGCTGCGTTGCATGAATCTGCAGAACGGACACACAGCAGGCATCAATATAATCAGCCTCGGGTGCTTTCGTATAGAATATGTCGACTGGATACCGTCTGCCGGGAATGCGGAAAATGGGAGCATCATCGAAGAATGCAGAGAACTTCTCGGCATCAAGCGTGGCGCTGGATATCAACAGCTTAAGCTCAGGTCGGAACCGTGCTATATCCTTGACAAGTCCAAACAGAATGTCCGTATGCAAAGTGCGCTCGTGCGCCTCATCAATAATCATAACGCTGTAGGAGGCCAGATCTGGCTCAGAGAGGAACTCTCGATGCAGTGTGCCGTCTGTCATGTACTTGAGTATGGTGCGATCTGAGGTGCAGTCCTCGAAACGAATGCTGTAGCCCACCTCGTTGCCCAATTTCACGCCCATTTCTTCAGCTACTCGAGCCGCCACGGACATGGCAGCCACGCGACGCGGTTGCGTACATCCAATCATCTTCTTATCCGCCGTGAAGCCAGCCTCAACAAGGTATTGCGGTACTTGAGTGGTCTTACCAGAACCAGTCTCGCCCTCAATGATCAGCACCTGATGCTCTCTTACAGCTGCTATGAGATCCTCCTTAAAGGGATAAACTGGCAACGATCTGCGTGTTTCTTCCAAAGTCATGCGTTTGCGTTCCTTTTCTGTTAGCTCTGTTTCTTTGGCAGCCTTCTCGCGACTCCCATCAAGTGTTAGAGCCTGAATGAAATCAATTTGATCGTCAAGCAACAGCTCATATTCCTCCTCAGCCTTGGCATCTTTGGCACCAAACTGAAAACGCGCCGAGGCCAATTGCTCAGCTTCCCATTTCTTTTGCTCCGAATTGGGCTGCTTCTCAAAGTCATCCACCTCCACGTACTCCGCTGCAACCCAAATTGTTTAATCAAATCTTCAATATATTGTTCAATCAATTTTTCGATATGATCCTGATACTATACTTACATCGCTCGCCTTTCTTAAGGTCCTGGGGCATGTGATAGCGCTGAATGCGCTCTAGTTCACGTGCCTTCTCATGCTCTTTAGCTATATTTAATAGCTGTTTCTTGTACTGGCGTTCCTCCCGTTCCCGCTTGGTTAGCCTAAGGATATCTCAAATGAAACTTAAATATGAAAACAGTCATATGGCAAATACCTACACGCTCTCTTCAAAGAGGTACTCATCGTCGAGTATATCTGCTTCTAGCTCAGCCACTTTGTCATCTTTGCGCTTCTCCAAGTACTGTCGACGTGACTGCACGCGCAGATGTGGCACAATCTTATCTCGATCCTCATGCTCCAGTTTCAGCCGCTTAGTGGCTTCTTCAATTGCCTTGCGTCCGCCTGTGGCTTCGACCACTTTGCGAGTTCGCTCCTCATCGCGTTGCTTCAAACGATTGGCAAACTCATCACGTTCACGCAGATCCTTAATACGGGACTCCTCCTCGCTGTCGGGCTCTTCGCCACTGCTGCTACTGCTGGCTGTGCGCTTCCGATTTTTACTCGACATATTTTAGTAAAATACACAATCTAAAGCCAAAACAACAAGAGCAGTTGCCGGCTTCTTGGACTAATACGCTGTTCACAATAAATATAATATTGTATATCGATATATGAAGTAAGCAAATACGTTATCATTTCAATTTACGTAAAGCGCGGGAGCGACCATACAAATCACGAAGATCTTGTTATTTATATAAATAATATATATTTATTGCGTTAATTTAAATTAACTTAGATAAGATAAAAAATTAAATAAAATTTTCAAATGTTAACACACAATTAATATAACAATATATCGATATTTTTATACCTTTTAAACAATCGATTACTTTTCGCGCGCTACGTGCAGCCCTAGTTCTCGAAACGCACAAATCATAACATATATTTCCAGTAGGAAACAACACAATTTTGAGCATGTCTCGTCAATTAAGCTTTTGCCCACAACAAGAATATGAACTCATTGAATATCCTGGCCGTGTGGTCAACACAGACCGCATGCTGGCCACCTTAGGTGGCATTGTGAACATATCGAGGGTAAGACCTAGAAGAAAGTTTAATTTCAGTCAAAATGCTTATAGTTTCCTATGTAGGTCCTGGGAGATGAGAAGAAACGTTTGGAGCTGCGTTTTCATCCGGATAATCCATATAACAAGCCTGCCTTCGGTGATTGTACAGACACGTCGGGTATTTTATTATCAGTAACTGTGCGACGCCATAAGCGCGACAAATCGCGCCCACCTCAACATTTTGTTCGTGTCCTGGGTCATTGCAGTCGAAGCTTCTCATTTGAATGTAAGTAACGCATACTAGCATTTTGAAAATAATAAACAACAGGAACTGCTGCTGGTAGCTCTTTGTGACTTCCAGTACCTGCCGCTGTGGCACACACCCAAAAGTGAAAACGCCACCGCCGCAACGGAGCTGAAATATGCACTGGATCAGCTGCAGCCGCGCGATGTTTCGGACGTGGAATATTTCAGGTGAGCCGCACAAAGCATGGAATAAAATGGAATACAACTAACAGAAAACATTGTCTTGCAGCCGACCGCATCCGCAGCTGTTTTGCCTGCCAGAACTCTTTGCACGTGTTGACATCGTGCACAGTGGACACTATCGCATGGATGGCACTGGCGATGGAAGTCAAGAAGTGCTGGGTGTATCGGCCAAGTCCACATATGAAAATCACGATGTCGTCTCTTTCAATATGCAGGATACGTTTCCCACGCAGCCAGATGGCCAGATACTTAAGCGCCTTAAGGTCAAATATGTGTCAGACGAGCAATTCGCACGTGTTAAAAAACTCTTTGATGAAATTCCCATCTGGACGCGGATAGCGCTGCTCTACGAGACGGGCATCACCAACGAAAAGCTGAAGTGCATAATACCCTCGCTAGCCTTCTATTTCAGCAACGGCCCTTGGCGGACGCTGTATGTCCGCTACGGCTATGATCCACGCAAGGACTTTAAAAGCCGACATTATCAGACATTTGATTTTCGCTTACGCTTTGGCTCGGGCGTTTCGGAATTCGTTTACTCCCGCAAGTCCGCAAAACAGAAGAGATCAACAACGACCGCCAACGACGATTTGAAAAGTGAACTGGTCCAAAACATCGACTATCCATATTTCGACGATCAAAAGTTGCCGCGGTCCAGGCAATGCATGTTACGATATTGCGATGTGCGACTGCCCAAAATACAGGAAATGCTGGAAAAGATACCCACGCCGCTAACCGGCGCTGTTTGCAATGAGCGAACCGGCTGGCTGCCACCTAGCTTTGATTCGCAGGTGCGACAGATAGTGTGCGCCACGATCAAAGACTTGTTGCGTAATCATTATCGAAAAGAGCATCTGACTGCCGAGGTGGAGGCTGTCCCCCAGGCCGATGGCGAAGCCGAAGCCGAAGCCGAGGGTGATGCTGAGGCTGAAGCTGAGGCTGAGGACGAGGAGTATTTCATAGAAGATGACGAGACTCAAGAAGAGGATATGGATGTGGATGAAACCCCCATTGGCGAAAATATAGTCGACAAGAACATTGAACAGTTGCTTGACAATATTACAAACTAATCTTACAAAATTCACAACGAATTAATCTGTGATCTATTATAGTTTAGCAGTATAATTAATAAAAGACTTACGTTAAATGTATGTTCAAATTATAGGGCGACACAGATTTTGATCTAGAAAACTATGATGACAGACGAATAACCATGAATACCAGATATACAATTGTATATCTAAATTTGTGCAAATGAGGATTAGGTGATTAGGTGGAAATACTTAATATATATCATTTTAATATTTAATGATAATTGCAAGATCTGTAAACTTTATCCGGGTTGGAAACGTTTAACAGTGCAGAAAACAGACCCGCTCTATTCACTTAACAGTTTTAATTTGAAATACTAATATCACTCAAAGGTGATGGCTGTAAAATGTTGTCAGTGCTAAAAGACAGTGTACAAAGTATTAAATTAACAGAGTGATTAACGACGCTTTGAGTGAAATTTGAAAGCTTAACAGCAATGTAGAAGACAGCACAGTTTCTGATCAAAAATTTAAGCATTGCTGAATAATTAATTTTTGGAGGAAGAAAAGATTTATAGGTATTGTGACGTAAAGTTTAAGCAAGTAAGCCAAAAATGTAAGGCTGAGCTGCGGAGAAACCAGAACAAAGTAGGCTATAATTTAGAATTCTTACCGATTCTCTGCACATGAACAAAATATAATTTTCCGCACTTTAACGTTGTTCGTATGTTCAGCAACATTTTTGTATTTTTATAAAAAAAGAAAATATTTTATTAGTGAAACGAAAAAAAAAGAATAGAATTTTGTACTTTTAGAAATTTTTAAGTGAATATTTTAAAAATTTTCTGTAGGTATTATATCAAGGGATATAATGGACGAGGAAGAGAAAATGGATGTAGACATTGCAACAGGCTCTGGCTGCGAGCCTGAGCAGCTCAATCATCACGATTCAAGAATGAAAAACTTTATTCATGCGGCCAAAATATGGAATCGAATGCCATTTTATCAACGCGAAGCTTATCGTAATATATACGATGATGCAGAACACAGTCCTAGCTGTGTGATGATGGATGTAAGCGATTATGACAGTCAAGACGATTATCCAATGCATGATCCCAATGCAGGGAAGGCTCCACGCTATGCCAAATGCGCCAATAAACAAAGTGCTAAGCGCAAGAAGCCGAAAAAATGGATCAAACCGGGCCCCGTGACAAATAATGCTTATCTGAACTTCGTGCGCACGGTTCGACGTAAATATTGCGGTCTGCAGCCTAAACAGCTAGTAATACTCGCGGCATACGAGTGGAGAAATCTGAGCGACTCTAAAAAAGAAAAATACCGTCGTCAGGCAAGGCAACATTACTAACTATATATTTTACATAGATCTAAAGACAACCAATCTTTCTCCCCCACACAGGCTTACGAGATCAGTGCCATTGAACGCGAAAAACGCCAATCCAATTACCAAAAGCTGCGACGCACGCATTACCACCATTAGCGCACCGTCTTCAATTCCATTTTAAATGTGTAAAATTTCCAAATTTTCAGTGCATTTTAATCATTAAATGGGCTTATAAATAAAAATGAAAAAGCATTTTAAAATATATACATACATATATATATGAGCATTACGGAGCATTTGGCTGAGAATAGACCCTTTCTGCATGCCAGTTTATTATTAAATTCATATAAAATTTCAATCACAAATTAAATAAGAATTGAAGGAGCTATCAAAGTTTGCTATTTAAACTATAAGAACAACCGCATATAGTTGACATTAAATTAAATAAAATACATATTTCGTGAAGAAAAATATATATACAAATAATTTACAGAAATAAAATAAATAGATAAAGCCTGGTCAGCGGAAATCAAGAACAGAGAATGAACGCAGTACAGTTAAAGCCTTGGAAGCAAGATATTGAACCATACATGGGAGAATTAAGCAAATAAATAGCAGATATGGCTATGGGCAACGCTTCATTGGTTGAATCATAAAAAGAGATTGAATATGAGGTTTAATGTGAGGAAGATTTAGATATTGTAATCTCGCTTCCCGACAGGGGAAAGAGGTAACATATATGTCTTGGCGCACAGCTGCGCATCATGCCTACGAAATGGCAGCTTAAAGCACTACCCAACAGTAGCCATTATAAGGAATAAAATTAAGGGGCCAGCGAGCATTAGCCAATGTCGCGTTGAACATCAGAGCTATTATTGATCGCCTGGATTTGAAATATACTGACCAGCGGCCCATTTACTTGCTATGCTTCGGCAGGGCTCTTTGTCGCTTATGGAGTATTATGAGCAGGTAGAGCAAAAACTAGGCTCACTTACCAATAAAACGAAATTGACATATCACTCTGACGTTGCTGCAGTATTGAATACGAAATATAGCGCGGACGCATTATTCGTATTAATCTCCGGAGCAAGGAATACTCTTAGAAACGTATTATTATCGGCTCGTCCGAAAGATCTACGGTCTGCTTTGACATTGGCCCAAGAAGTGGAGTCAAATGGTGAACGATATTCCTTTGCCGAAAGATGTGCTTTACTATGGAATTAAAGACTGCAAAGAATATGTCGAGAAATCAAAATGAGATCAAGCTGGAATATTCGAGCAACCACCATTCTTATAAGAAAAATCAAAAGCACCATAGAAATAAACGTTCCAAATAAACAGCCCACAAGCAAGTGAGTTCATGTAGGTGGACTTATCTTCCAAACCCAAGCCGAAACGAATTACTGCTGGATATTGGATATGGGATAAACAAACCCTGGAAACCTACTTAATTCAAGAAATATATAATATAATAATATGATTTTATTTAATCATTAATATTGACAATCTCAATCACAAGGGTAAATATTGTCAATCCAACACTACGTGATTCCCATGATTATGATGAACTTGTTTAATGAGCGCTCTACAGATTTTAGCATATTGCCATAATAGTTATACCCTGAATCCATTGAAAATGGGAAATCAGGTTATAATGGTTTTGTTAAAAGTATGTAACAGGCAGAAGGAGGCGTGGCAGACCCCATAAAGTATATCTTCTTTTTCATCGATAAAAAACCTTATCGAAAATCAGTTAAATAATTTTATCTCCTACATCTTTCAAGCTATAGTGTCGAAATAAATATATATTTATTTAAATATATATTAAGACGCATTTTATACAATTTCGGTTTTTGTTAAAATTTCCCCCCACGCCTCTATATCCACCCCCTCACCCTCATATTCGTAAAAGTCGTATATCAAATAGTAGAGACTTGTGCTTCAGTATAATTGAATATCAAGCAATTAACACCAAACCTACGACGATCTGGGTTAATCTATTGCCATATCTCTACACATTATCTCTGTCCCTCTCTTATCTCATATTAGTTAGTCTTCGATATCAGTAGAGTAATATATAATAACTATGACATTTTTCAATATTTGCTTCGTTTTCTTTCATATCAGTTCGAGATTGACTCAGAACTTTTTAAAGAGCTATTGATTTCAGATTTATGTGAACTATTAAAATGGATTCCGACAATAAATATTTCAATATTTCAACTAACACTTTTGATTTAGCGAACTGAAAGTACAATTTAGTCTGAACTAAAAACCTGCAAACCTACATGAATGTCTAGACGAGACGACAGATATACTAATTACAGATAGATAGATACATAGACATATAAATACATAAATCCCTAGATACATAGAGAAAAATATAGACATATAAATATTATATATACACAAATAAATGGTATTTTCGCAAGTGTGTTTCATAATGTTTATTGAATTAACATTTTTAGCTGGAGTTTATTTCAAATTAGCTGAGCCAATTCGCAAGCAAAATTTTCTTTCATTTGTTTACCAGACTTTTCTAAGCCTCAAGATATTTGCTCGTATAGGCGTGTTTAGGTATTATACGTGATCCGGACGTATGTTAGTTAATGCAAAGTATATTGAAGCTTCAAGCGAAATTAGTTTGTTAAAATATAAATGCTATAGCTGAAGATTTGATGGGGCGCTCTAAGGCTTGCAGCGATCGAGGAAACGAGGATAGAGGCAAACTTCACGGATGTGATAGCGGTTGAGCAGCCAGCAGAGGAAGCGCTCCAGACCCAGGCCGTAGCCACCGTGAGGCATGGTGCCGTATACGCGCTGATCTGTATACCAATAGTATGGTGCGGGATCGATGCCCTCGCGCGCGTAGGCCTTCAATATCTCGTCGCTGTCGAAGATCCTCATCGAACCGCCAACAATTTCACCCACATTGGGCAACAGCACATCGACACTCTCGGTGAGCCGTTGATCGTCCTGGCAGCGTGCCATATAAAACGATTTGATCTCAGCTGGGAATCTGATCAGCAGAATCGGCTCGTTGATGGTGTCCGTCATCTTGCGCTCGGGCCCCTCGGGTATATCCTCGCCGAACTCATAGAAGGTGCCATCCTCCTTGGGCACATTGTTCTCCTTCAGCCATTTGATGGCGTCCACGTACTGCATGCGCTTGAATGGCTTCGTTGGTGGCTTAAAATCGGGATTGAGCTCCTTCACTATGTAGCCCCATGGCGACTTCAAAACTCGATCCACCACATCGCAGACCAAGTCCTCGATGCGATCCAGCAAATCTTCAAAAGTCAGGAACGGACACTCCGCCTCAATGTGCGTATACTCGGCCAGATGACGACGCGTGCGACTCTGCTCGGCGCGATAACTTTGTGCAATGGTAAATACATCGCCTAGGGCCGGCAGGCAGGTCTCCAAGTACAGTTGCGAGCTCTGGGTGAGGAAGGCCTCTTCACCGAAATACTGCATCTTGAACAGTGTGGAGCCGCCTTCGACCTGGGTCTGGACAAGCGTGGGTGGCGTCACCTCGTTGTAGCCGCGATCAAAGTAATGCGAACGGAACGCCTGCATCACCACGGAGCGCATCTTGAGCACCTTCGAGGTGTTCTCGCCTCGTATCATGATGTGCCGGTTATCCAGCTGGACATCGGGATGCGCCTCCTCGTTGAGTATGGCATCGGCGCCGCCTGGTGGTGCAAGTCCAATCAGCTCCCAATAATCCACAATCAACTCGTGGCCACCCGGAGCTGTCTTGCCTTCCGGCACCAGCTTCAAGGTGCCGTAGAGCACCACAGTGCTCTCAGTGCTCAGCACTAGCGCTTCGTACGTCTGGCAAAGCAGATCATTCAAGACACACTGCAGGAAGCCAGTGCCGTCGCGCAACGTGATGAAGATTAGGGATTTGCCCTGCCGGCGCAATCGATGCACCCAGCCGTAGATTTTGACACGTGCATTGCGATACTCGGCGCCCTTTTCGATGCGTATCCTTTGGGCTGGCGGCAAGCTGGTGTCTTCACTTATTTTCACCTTGCGCGCCTCTTCCAGATTCTGGGCACGCTTCTCAGCATCCTCGGCCTCGCGCTGCAGTTTATCGGCATTCTTCTGACTCTCGCGCACAAATATCTTTTGGATTTTCTTCAGCTGTGACTTGGCTGCCGGCTCGTAAAGCTCGCTGTTCTTTGGGTCCTTGCTATCCACATAAATGGTGGGGAAGGGCTCTTTAGCGGCATGACGCATCGCTTGCAAAATGGTTTTATAAGGATTTGTCTCGCTGCCATCGCCTGACTCATCGCTTCCACGCTTTTCCGATGTAAAGAGCGCACCTAAAATTACCAATACCAAATGGTAAGAACTTTTATCGGTAAACGCACACAAATAAGCATATTTAAACACAATTACACACATACATACACATATACGTATATTGGCAACGTGGACGACCGAAAATGCCGCATTGCCATTTATTAGTCGTTAAATGTAATACTTACTCATGCTTAGATCAGCCATCTGTTCGGTAGGCATTTTGCTTGAATTATGACAAATATTTTCCAAGTAACTATTTATAAGTTCACAGCTTACTTAGAAAAACTGCATCCGAATTGCATCAGCTTACACACAAAGCAGACCGTTGGTATATTAAAGCAATGGGAATTTTTTTTAACAGCGTGGCATAACATTTTCCCAAATGTGTACTGTTATTAACAGTCAGCATGAATTTCATTTCTAATAAAAAACACTACACTAAAAATATGTTCATATATAAGTTAAGCTATGATTATACAAATTATATTATTTAGTTATAATAGTTAATTACTTAAACTTATTCCAAAGTTGTCATAATAATTAAACAGCTGTTTCGATTAATACCATATATCGACTAGTCGATTATTACCATTTTGAGCAAGAAACGTAAACATCCAGGGAAAAGTGAATGCAATTTTTGCAATGCCTGTTGAAAATAAGTATGCATACAAAACAGCTAGACAATAACTAATAATTTACACAAAACATTAATTTATTTCAATTCAGCGTGAAAATACTGCCCAAGTCGGTAGTATGCGAAGAGAGTACACTTCGTGGTGACATCACCTTTTCCGCTGGCTGCGTTGTCCATCCCAGTGCAACGATTATTGCTGAAGCTGGCCCAATTATTATTGGCGAAAATTGCATTGTGGAGGAGTATGCAACCATTGCGCATCGTTTGGCAGACGGCGCCAGCTGGGATGCCAATAATATTCTGAGCATCGGCAGTCACAATGTCTTCGAAGTGGGCTGCACCGTGGAGGCGGCACGGATTGGCGACAAGAATGTATTTGAAAGCAAGAGCTTTGTGGGCCGTGGAGTGACCGTGTCCAGTGGCTGTGTAATTGGAGCTGGCATTCAAATGCGCACCGCTCAATTGATGCCCGAAAACACCATTGTATATGGCCAACAGGCGCTTCAACGCGAGGCCATCGAGAAACAGGGCTCGCAAACATTGCAGATCGACTTCCTTAGGAAGGTGCTGCCCAACTATCATCACCTGCGCAAGCCAAACTATGATCCGAAGAAAGCACGCAGTGTTGTCTAGATTAATAGTGAAGACTCATTTCCATAGGCTAGCATATATATGTAATGTATTAATTAATCTCTACAACTGTGGCATTAAACGTATTCATCTCTTTCTCAAATGTTTCTATTGTATGATCGCACAGCGCCTCCAGATCCTCCAGCCCTCGCTTGAGCAGATCTATTGCACGCTCTCGATGCGACTGTATGCGGAAATGTAGCTTCTGCTCGGTGGGATGTGGTATCGTATAGCCGCAGAAATCGACCTCCGGATAGCGAGCTATAATTGTTTTCAGTGCATTGCCGAGCGTGTGGCCCTCGTTAATAAAAACAAATGTGCGAGAGCCATCGCCATTTTTCTCATCGCCGGCAAGCTAAGACACGCAGACTTTGATTTAGCTTTCAATTTTCATATAGATTATTATTTCAGTAAATACCTCTGCTAATGCGCCCATTGTGCAGTAAATTCAACAGCTTCTCTAAACAGATTTTTTTCATAAGAAACGTGCGCTATACTTATCGGAACTTCTTCAGTCTTGGCAACCCTGTGCCATGGCTATCGATAAAAAATAGTTGCTGGCTTTCGATGTCTTGCAACACTCGTGTTCTTCTTGCACAGACAGCGAGAACACGCTCGAAATTTAATCACTGCGAATTTAGAAACACAACATTGTTATTATTTTTTAATTAGTGCAATCGTTATTTAGGACGCAAGAACGATCAATTTTTAGTGTAATTCAAAGCTTGTAACTGAAAAAAGAAGAAAAAGAAATTGGCAAACCGAACAGAAACACAAACAGCAACATAAGCATATTGCAAACATTAAAACGCCGCGAGTGTGTTTGTATTTGTGTTTGTGCAAGTGCATACATGTGGCTATGCGTACGTGTGTGCGCCTGTGTTTGGAATCAACAAAAAGTCGTATACAGCAGAAAAGGCGGCAAAAGAAACATAACAGCGACTGCACATGATATGCAAAGCGAGGCGACAAAAAAAATGCAACTGCAAACATAATTATTTGTGCAATGCATTTAACGTGAACGTCGTGAACGTCTTACTGCTCCGAAAAAAAAACAAAAAGCACCGACATTTCGAACGAGCACAAGAGTTTTTGCAGCACTTCGCTTAGTGCGTCAATGCAGGCAGGAATAAAGAAAGAAACGGCGAAAATAAACTGCAGTGAGCCAACAATAACAACAAGCACAAAACAGAAACGCCGAATGGAATACAGGTTTGTGCAAAAGCAGCAAATAAATCAAATAAGAAAAAAAAAACTTCAAATCAGCTCTTTGTGTATATAAATGCACCCAAAGTATATTTTTATTGAAAATATATTTACCAAAAAGGTGTCATTTTTTATGAATCTCTTTTTGTTGTGTTTACCACGCCTCCCCTCGGTGTAGTATATGTACAATGCATCAGTGTGTGTGTCTGTGTTTGTCATACACACACACACAATTTAAAATTATGCAAATTCATGCACACTGGCAGCCGTTGCGCTGCCGACGCTGAGCGTGCGCAAAGGCGGAAGCGTATGCTAGAAGACCAGTTCGCGCTGCCAATGTTCAATTCTGTTATTCTTTTTTATCCGCTGTTATTTCAATACATACATGTTGTACATAAAAGTGTGTATATTTTATGTACATATTTATATTATTAGTTTAATAGTTGCTAGGTCGTTCGGTTCTCCAACCTATTTTGAATTTATTTTATTTTTATTTTTACTTATAAATACATGTTCTGCCAGAAAATAATGCCCTGCGACTCATTCGTTTAGTGGTGGAAGTGGTGGCGGCAGCGACGTCGCGTCGTCGTCATCGTTGCTCACATCTGTTGTTTGTTAAAGCAGCCTGTCTTTGACTGTTCGCTCGCCTGTCTCTTTACTTGGGGGTGACTAATGCAAAATCATGTTCCGTTATCTCAAAACGTTTCTCATGTCCCGGTGTCCAATCCAGATCCACACCCACACACACACACAAACGTATACAGCTTAAGCGTGTGTTGTAATAGCGGAGTTTTTTGAGTGACTGTGTGTGTGTGTCGATGGCGCCGTTTCATGTTTCACTCAATGTAATGCGTTCCTCTTACATATACAAACATATTTGCAATTTGGTCTAGCTGCGTTTCGTTCTCTACTCGTTCCCCCCATTATGCTCTGAACCCTTTGGAAGTGCATTTCCATGTATACATACATACATACACAAAATGCACATGAAAAGCATGCGTACAGTGGTGTGTGTTCATTTGTGCTCTTAAGTTCATTACAGCAGCTGCTATATTCATGTTCATCAACATATGGCATTTTGTTTAATCGAGTAATGATCAATTTCTTTATTGTCAAAACATTGATGTAAATATTTCTGGAAAGCAAATGTAATTTTTCTTGAACCGCTCATGCCATATTGTTTCATAAACATACATACATACATACTTCCGAATATGTATTCATATGCAGGAAAATGTATGAGATCCAGCGTTAGACTAGATATTTGATAATTAACAATAAATAGGGTAGTGATTGCAGAGAAAGATATCAACTAATCGGGCCTCAGAGGTAATTCGATTCTTCGTTCGCTAATTTCGTTTTCGGTTTCCTGCTGTAGTAATGAGAAGAATATGCGAAACAATGAGAATGAAATGCTGTCTCATGTTGCCATACATACGTATACATATGTATATGTATATGTATGTATGTAATAACGTAAACATATTTGTGTCTGGCCGGGTCACAGGCTTTATGCCAGCATCGTTTGCTTGCTGGCTGTCTGACTGTCAAGGGAACAACGACGACCGCGGCAGACCATGAAAACTAAAAACCCTGTCCGGGCGTCGTCAACACAGACAAGGCAATGGCACATACCACGGCAACATCCTGTGCAGCAACCACGAAATAATACAAAAAAAAAAAGCAAAGAGAAGAAAAAAAAACCTGACATCTTCTGGCTGATGTTCCCTTGCCGCTTACAAGTTTGGATTCGCCCAGACTGTCCAGCCGCCGCCTGCATCCGTTACGGCTTCGACGATATGGATATAAAAATATGTACACAAGTGTGTGTGTATGTGTATGTGTGTACCTATGGCGAAAAACAAACACGAAGAGGACATTGAACGCCATCGTTCGTTCATCGTGAGAGCTACAGAAAGGAGGCGGCGGTAGCATTTTTAGAATTCCAAAAATCAACAAAAACAAAAAGCACCAAATGACGAGAGCAGACAACAGAAATAACAACAAATACAATAACAATCCAGACAGGGCCAGTGCTAGGGCACGTCTGGCAGCACTGCAACGTCCAGTTTTTGTTTCCAATTTTATTTTTGAAGCTGCATAAGTGATCGACTTGATGCATACAGAGCATCGATAAAATTAATAGGTATACACGTTAAGTGTTGTCTGCTTACTGCATTATTACGAGTCCTTAGTACCAGGGTTGCAATATGAGCAAGCAAAATTTGCGTAAATGATTTGCCAGATCCCATCGTACTATCATTACATGTACATATCCTTAACTTAGGCATGCATGTTAACTGCATGTGCACAAGGCTCACCGTTAGTCCTCGTGACTAGGGCTGACCAATGAGCAAGCGTAATCCACGAAAACGATATTGCTAGATCACAACGTTTTATCGATAAAATGGTACATTCTGTTAACTATCTATCGAGTCTGGTTCTTGCAAATCATAGGATTTGGTGTATAAGTTGTAGTATATTATAATAGAGTATATAAATTAACGTATAAACACCCATATATGTATATATATATATATATATATATATATATATATATATATCTTGGCGGCTATGTCCTGTGCAAAACAGCATACAGCGTGCACATGCATACAAACATATGCATGTATGTATATACAGCGCATGTGTGTGTGTGTGTGTGTGTGTGCAGTTTCATTTCATTTTCGTTTCACTTTTTGCCATTGCCTGTTTCTGCTTCCTTCTTTTATTGTTTTACTTTTACAGCTGCCACTTTTTCAACTTGCATTTTTGCCCTTCCCGTTTATTTATCCTGCTGCTGCTGCTGTTGCGGCTGCCTTTGTTGTTGTTGCTGTTGCTTTGTGTGTTTTTGGCAAGGGTGGAATACACAGCGCTCGACGCTTCATCGCAGCCGTCGCACAAAACAAAAATTTATAACATTCGTATGTCTGGCTTTGATCCTTTTGGGTTTGCTTTTATTATTTTCATTTATTCATTTTGTTTTTTTCTTCTTCTTCTTTCATGGCTCAGACGTCTGTCTGGCCACCACCATCAGCAGCGCCACCCCTAGTTGAGCATTAGAGGGAGAAAGTGTCTTGCAAATAAATAAATAGTCATGTCAGCCATAATATTAATGCCCCAAAATAGATGGAAGGTGGTGTGCAGAGAGCTTACGTTTGGGGGCGACGGACGGACAGACGACGGCGTTGCTAATCAACCCTCTGGGGCGCTGTTTGCACGACAGCAACAGCAGCAACAACAAGTATAAGATGAAGAAGAAGAAGCAGCAGCAGCAGGAGAAGACCCAACTGCAGCCTCCCCCAAAATATATATCGCAAGTCGGTTTGTGCGTGGGGTCAATAAACTTTCGCGCCACCATCTTTCGCCGTGTGCGTGCGTGTGCGAGAGAGCGAGAGAGAGAGTACATGCTCTGGACCATTCCAGACAGAAACATACCAAAAAAGCAGAGAATTGAAAACCGGGTAGCGGCTTCCTTTTCGCTAGTCACCCTCGACGTTTGGCGTGCTGCACGTTCTACGCATTTTTGTGCATTGACCCCAAGCAACGCACTCCCCTATGCCACCTCCACCTGAACCCCCTCCCACTCACCTACACACACATACACAATGGCAACCCTTGTTGATTTGATTTTCATATGGCTAAGTAGGGGGAGTCGGAACAGTTGGAGCAGCTCTCTAAACCATATGAATTTCGCTTGATTGTGCTTTTATGTTTTTATATACATACATATGAATACGTATGTATGCATGTGTATATGTCTCCATTTACGGTCATACAGTAAAATATGCATGCACCTTCGATTACACCTTTATGATGTCATAAAGGCAAGACGGCTTTAATTGCACAGTGGTACAAAATATATGTATATACATGTATGTATACATAAATATATATGTATATATATGTACATACATGTACATTTGTCTGTGTGTATAGAATGCCTATATAAAACTTTTTATGGCCACTTGGCTAAATGGCTGGGCGATGGGCGTGGTTAGATATTGTAATGCCAAGACTAGCCGGACGGACAGATAGACATACGGGCATTTCCTGTTTTTGGTCTTGACAGCAAATGGCATTTAGCTTCACACCGAACGATTTGCCATGTAATTTCCTCAGCTCTGCAACGACAACAAATAACGAACAACAACAGGAACAGCTCTACTCAGACAAAGACCGCAATCAGAACATCATCATTAAAGGTCATTTTGGTAGGGAAGTTTTAGGGGTAGTTTACAGTTTCAAATTCCTTGGGAAACAGCAGGGGTTTCAAAATATGCGAAATTTCACGCTTTGCTCTCTCACTCTCTTTGTCTCTCTCGCTTGACGTGTTGTCCAATATGTAAATGCGATATAGCCGAGAAAGTGGCATTACAGGGCGGTTGTGTCCTGTAAATCTAGATCTTTATGCTTCACAATGTGTATATGAGAAACTTTGATGGGCCCGAAGGGTTCGTGGGAAATTGTAATGTACTTTTGTTTGCCTATCCCAGAGGGGAGGAGAGGCAATGCTGTAAGGAGCAGCAGGGGTTTGAACAGGTTGCCAAACCCTCAGATACTTGAGACAAAGTCTAGTGCGGCGGATATATGTATATCATATGCATATAAAGTGAATTTCCAAAGCAAAGAAGAATGCGTTGAATTTATTCTCAACTTGATGTTTGGCTTAAAGTCAGAATGAAAGTTTAAAGACCCATTGGAAATGGACTAAAGGATATGCATAACATACTGCCGCAATCGCAATATGTACTACGAAGTCTCTATTTGGTATACCCTTTATTTCAAATTACAAATTCAAGATCAATTTCCATCAGCATAGTCGAATCGCCTTTTCAAAACTGTGCTTAACGCGTCTATGCTAATACTGTTGAGACATCCATTTTAGGGCGGCTTACATTGTATCGTGAAACGTGTAATGCATAAAAATACTATTTCCGAGCACACTATTCACATAAAGTCGTAAAGCACCATGATCCGAGAATAATATATAAGTTCGTCTGCTCGTT